TATTGTCCAAATTTTGTAAAGGTGGAGATTCTTTGTTCTTCTTTATCTTTGGACGAATTCAATTCCATCAGAGTAATTATTATATATCAATATATGGCAGAATTTTCCAAGGTACGCACTCATTCAAATTTAGCATCCATATTAGATGGAGACCCAGTAGACCTAAGAATCTTGTCAAATGACCCAGTGAGTTACAATTGTTAATTAATAAACATCATATAACTTTTATTCTAAAATTACTAATTTCAATAGTTACTCTGACTCATCCAAAATTACATAGTTTTAAAGGGGTATTTATTTTTAAAAAAAAAACTTAATTTTATAGCTAATAAACATTTCTTCTATATATATACACACACTTAATAAATAGGTAGGTTATTTTTAAAGAAATAAACTGATTAGCATACTTTCTATTTAACACATTATACAATATATTTATTAAAAAAAATTATTTTTTTTGTCTAAAATTAAAGGTAAATAAATTTAAAAATGCATTCATATATATACAACATATATAAATTGGATGAATCAATTATACTTATACTCTATTTTAATGGCTAAACCAAGCAAGAGTTAAAAGATGTATTTGAATCAAAAGGTGTACCAGTTATTTTCAAGAAACAAAAATGCTATGGAAATGTGTTAATTAGATGCATATATGTATATTTTAATGCATGAGTATATGCCATGTCCCCAGCCCCACATTTCTTTTAACTGTTAAAGGATCTGGTGCTTGTTTCCATTGCAATCACATGCCGGTTCATTTTAATGGATACTCCTATTATACCGTCCTCCTCCATCTATATAAATACCTCAGTTGATAGAAAATACTCATCCAGGACAACAAAGCAAATAATCAAATTACTTGATTGCAAGTTTGGAGTGAAGAAAAATGTCGAACTTCTTGCGGCTTTGGAAATGGGGTTCAGGGATTGTCCAACAATCTCAGCAACATGGCACCCTGTAACCTTGGTTCCGGTTCCGGAAGCCAGAACTATGGCAAGGTTCAGGATCTAACCACGATAGTGGTGGAAACTGGAATTTCAGCCCAAGCCTTGCTCTTGGTAATCCTTGTGGCCCGTCAACATTGGCCCTGGTACCGGTGGCCGGAACCAAGGTTCTGCTGCTAGGGGTCTTAACACTTTCAATGCACCAGCCAATCTGGCATCTGGATTTCCTTGTTTTTAGAGTTTTACTTCATGCACTTTCCTAATTATAGCAGCAGAAGTTGATGGGATTACCTATTAAGTAACTCTTAAAGCTATAAATATTAATAATCAATTCTGCTTTTTAGTTATATAATTTTGAAAAATATAGGTTTTTTTTATTTATTTACTGTTAAGATGTCCTTGAACCATATTTTGAGACTAATTTCTTTTCAAGTAATGTTAAGAGTACACTTTTCACATCGGCCTAGTGCATTAAAAAATATTAATTTTCATAAATACTAATTCTAATATTTAAACTTGAAAAATATATAGTAATTATTTTTGGCAAAATTGAGCACTTTATTAGTACGAGCTTTTCTAAGTATTGATTAACTTTAAGAGTTAATGCTTATTCGTCTAATCTTTGAAAATTAATAGAAAATTTATTATATGACTATGTCATTTTGATTCAATATCATGAAAAAAAAAAAAGTCTAATTCATGCTACTAAAATATGGTATTTAGTTTTTTCAATAAAATTTTATTAAAATTATATAATTTTAATATAATTTTCTTTTGAATATTTTAGAGATAAGGCAAGTGGGCATTTTTCCGTTAACTCTAAACTAAAGTAAAATGTTAACTTTCTCAAGTGAGCAGTTTTCATAGCAATACTTTCCTAATTGAGTGTTTTCTCAGCAAGTTTTTCACTTTTCATGAAACAAAGACGCAAATGTTGCTTCCAAGGTAGTGGTTCAACAAATTAAGAGTTTATATTTCAAGTTGAAGATTTCATGTTAATACCTTAAGTAAGATGAAAAGAGATTTAAGAAAATAAGAGGACTATCTTCCCTTTTATAACCAATCATCAAATGTTATTATTATTATTATTTTTTAAAAAAAAGCCCCTCAAAATGTACATCAAATTGATGCATTTTGAACGATAACCAAAAGACAATACTTCATCATACAAAAGAAAAAAAAAATTCCTTCATTATCCAAGTAGCAGATCTGTTGGAGCTTACATTGAATAGTAAGAAAGGTGCCAGTGGTGTGAATCATGCTAAAAAATGACATAACAAAATATTTCATTATACATGGGTAAGGATATGTAGATAATCTTTTTTGTAATTATATGAAAATTCTCTCTATCATTTTCCTTTCATTATTCTCAAGCTACATGGATTATTTTGACAAGATTTTTATTGCGTCTAGGGGTCCTTTAATCCATATTAGCATCCACGTGAATTAGGATTAAGTGAAGGAAAAGAATAGACAATGTGAGGTCATATGCATTGGGCTATTAATGATAAGAGTTGATTTGCATCTTTAAAGGAATTTTTTGCATCATTTGATAGGTTTGAGAGTTCATTTGCACCATTTTTAATTTAGTAGCTCATGTGTTAATATAGGAGAAGTTTGGGGCTTAAGAAGGTGTTGACGACCACTTAAAATTTCAAAATTAAAGAAAAATGGTGAAAAATTAAAGTGTAAAATTATGAAAATATGGAGTTATCACTTATCTAAATTATAAGGTAGAACAAGTCATTTAAAAACAGATTTGTGCAAAGATTAAAGTTTAGGGGTTTGGTTAGGAGTGAAAAATAACATAAGCACACCTCATAATCCTTTGTAACACGGTTGCATACTTTAACATTGAAATTTTAATTTAACTTCAAAATTAAATGAACAAATTGTAACATTTGAAAACATTTGAACATATTGAAAAATATGCATGCACAGTTGCACCAAATAAAAGTTAAGGGACAGATTTGATAAATTAGAATTCTGAAGGACTGATTTAAAATTATTATTTAAAAGATAATGGACCAAATTGCTCAATCATGAAAGTTTTGGATGAGATTAAAATAAAATAAAGACAGTTTTGAAACTTTGATTTAGATTAAGAAAAGTAAACAATTTGAAATTAATTAATTATGATAATTAGATTAATAGGATGGTTAATTTAACATTGATTAAGATTAATTAAAATTAACTAATCACACTTATTAACCTCTAATCAAAATAATTAAATAAATTTAATCAAAATTACTAGATAAATTTAATTACTTTAATTAAGACCAACAAACATAGTTAATTTACTCTAATTAAAAATTAATTAATTTCATTAACAGTAAATTAAACTAATTATTATAATTAATTTACTATTTTTATATTTTTACATTATTATATTTTTTTAATTTTTTTTTAGTATTTAAACCAATTTGGAAAGGTCAGGTTGATCCAACCCAAACATGACCCTTTTACTAAAGAGCGCCAAAACAGATAAAAGCACACAACAGTATAAGATGATTAGGGTTCATTCGACCAGGCAACAAATTCCGCAGAATGCAAGCTTCCAATTTCAAACCCAACAAACAATTATGGCATAATAGGCAACCAATCTATCAATTTGCTAAATATCATTTATCTCTCAACAATTTCATACAAATTCAAACACAAATCATCAAATCACAGAAAGAAAAAAAGAGAAAGAAAAGGTAGAACCGGATCAGAAGGAAGAGATCCCACCCAGAAGACCAGGCTTCGTTCATCACCCTTGTTTGGTGGTGACCGATGATGGTGATGATGATGGTGGCAATGATATGCATGGTGATAAGATAGGAAGAATGGTCGGATAATCGGAGGTGGAGTGATGTTTTAGTAAGCAAAACTCATAGATCCGAGAGAAGGGAGAGATTTTTACCCGGTGGTTGCTCCTTGAGAGGAAATTTGGTGGATGCCCTCCTCAAAATGCTTGTGCGACTCCTGACCCCCCAGATCTGAAACTTTTCTTCTCGTGGCTTTGGCTATGAAACAAGATAAATGTTCGACTGTTTCAGAAAATTGCCTAAGAGATGATGGGCGAGGATGGTGATGAGATGGAAGTCAAAGGGCTGGAAAAGAGGCTGAGAGGAGAAGACTCTCCCTTTCTTCTCTGGCTCCTGAACCCTTCTCCTCAAAACGCTTGTGCAGCTCTCCCCCCAAATCTGAAATTTTTCTTCTCTTGGCCATGGCTCTGAAACAAGATGAATGGTCGATAGTTTCAGAAAATTGCCCAAGAGATGATCGGCGAGAATGGTGATGAGATGGAAGTCAATGGGGATGGAAAAGAGGCTGAGAGAAGACTCTCCCTTTCTTTTCTTGCTGCCAAACCCTTCTCCTCAAAATGCTAGTGCGACTCTCCCCCCAAAAATGCTCCAGAACTCCTTTTAGGGTTTTAGAGTTTCAGCGAAGATTCTTTTTTTTTTTTTCGGTGGGTCTTGTTTTGTTTTCATTTTGGCCTTGCTTACGAGCTCAAAAATCAAATGAATGGAGTTTAGTTAACAAATGGACCAGTAGATGTGGGTTTACGTGAGCTGCCTTTTAAGCCACAATTTGATGATATTTTTTTTTTCTTTTCAATTTCTAATTTCCTTTCTCATTCCTTTATTCTTCAAAATTTTTTTCTTGATGACTTCCACATGTAGACAAGTTCCTGTCACATAAAAATTAAAATATTAGTACACATACAATGTAATTTAAAAATATTATAGAAATTCTATTTATTATTATCTTATATTTTTATTATTAAAATTTGAGTTATGATAGAGAGGTTTGCTAAATTTGGACTCAACACACTCGTGGGCCTAATTATTGCTGTAAGACCTTTTGTTACAACCATACAAATTATATAAAAAATGTATTTGATTTAATTAATTGTTTCTAACAATCTTTAGCTATTTTTAAGAAATAGTTAGTTGCAGTGTTTAAAAATATCAGTTTATAAATTAATTTTAATATGTTGATATATTAATTATTTTTACAATTAATAATTACAATTATTAATTATTTTTAACAATTAAAAAGAATTGTGTGGCTTTAACAAATCATTGTGTGACGATAACCATGCCCCTCACGTATCTGCATACTATTCCCTCAGTTCATTTTTAATAGTCTTAATTTAATTTTTTTGACATGAATTTTATATGAAAATTTAACAATTTATATGAATAATAATTAAAATTTTTATTTGATTAAAAAAATTTCAATTATTATTATTTTTTTTTTTTTTGAAAAGCAAAAGAAATATTTATTGAAACGGAGTACAGGGTTACCCCAAACCTATTAACATCTCAAATTGAAAGGCAAAGAGTTAGTCAAAAAGCCCTTCCGTTCTGTGTCGACACCTATATTGTGTGTCGACACCATGTCCGTGTCAGAGATTTGAGCTCAGCTCTTCCGTTTGGTGTCGACACCACGTCCGTGTCGGGATTCAGAAATGCTCAACCCTTCCAAAATGCCATAACCTCCCTTGTTGATATATTTGGCTTTGGAGTTCCTTAGTTTCTTTTCTGGTACGTCTCAATTGTTTGCAGCATGCTGGTATTCATCAGCCTCCTCACATCCTTCATTGATACTGTGATGACTAGTATTTATCTGCACAAATTTGATTCCTTTTAACACGTCGCCTTTTCATACTTTCTTTGGGCTCTAGTATCCAATATGTGAGGGAGACGTCCCAGTTCTTGCATTTTGCTTTCACCCATTCCCATGAGCTGACTTGAATTTGATTGTAGACCCTTTCAATCTCCGGTTTCTTTCCATGGAATACACAATCGTTCCTAGCCAGCCATAGGGCCCATGCATATGCGAACCATATAATCACCCAGCCTTCCCTTTCTCTGTTTTCTGTGAATTGTCCCCATTGTTGAGAAAAATCCTCTTGACAGTTGCTTGCTCGTGCCGAAGATATTCCTCACCATTTTAGACACTTTCCCCATATATTGTATGCTTTTTGACAGTGTAGAAACAGATGGTTTGAAGTTTCCACGTCTTCTTCACACATAGCACATGTCAACATGCTTTCGTTGCTTAAAACTTCTCTTTTGAATAGCTCAAATTTAGTTGGAATTCTGTTCTGCACCAGCTGCCATACCATAGTGCAGATCTTGTTAGGTACCAATGGGTTCCAAATTTTTTCATATGGTACCTCTTCGGTTCGATGAGGCCTTGATGTCAGGAATTGATATGCTGACTTTGTGGAGTAGCCAGCCTTACTATCTAATATCCAAAGCCACTTGTCCTCGTTTCCTTGATTGGGTTGAATCGGTGTGATTGCATCCAACAACTCTTTTTCCATCACTTTTTCCCACTCCCTAAGATCTCGTTTCCACTTCAAGTTCCATCTCCACCGGCCATCTTCCCATATACCCATTTGGTTCACCGGATATTGTCTCCCTGTTGAAAGTAAATACAATCTTGGAAACATGTTAGATAAGACGCCTATTCCTACCCATTTATCACTCCAAAAACTCACTTGTTTTCCTTCCCCTAAAGATAACCGCACATTATTCTCCAACCACCCTTCCTTCCCTGCAGGCATATCATTGATCTTACAAATATTTTGCCACCATATTGAACCCCTTCCCTTTCCCTCCTTAAACCATGTAAGCCAATGCCTTCCTATATCTCCATATTTCTCCCTAATCACTCTACTCCAAAGTGAACTTGAACCCTCCGCCATTTTAACCCACCATTT